AAGGAGCAAGAGAGAAAAAGATAGATAGATAGATAGATAGATCGAGAGAGGGAGAGAGTGAATCGAAAGAACACCAGCCTATCTGGCTGTCTAGGGGTATCATCTTTAACTCAGAGGTTGAGGTCCAAGGACCCGCCAATGTTAACGGTGGCTAGCTGCCTTCATTACTAATTTTATCATACTTGGCTCCGCCCATACTGTGATGTATACTACGACTTTAGCAAATGCTTATCATTACTCTAGTTCGACACTGCCTGTTATATCTGAACTCAATATTGTATCATTTTTCTCCTTTTATAGGGTGCTGTCGGAAACCCCGGACCTGCTGGAAACACAGGAGCTAGAGTAAGTACTCACGGGCCAGCTCGAACTGCCACCTGTCTAAGACAGTGACCTGCCTTAAAGAACTTACTTTTTTGACTTAACCTAATATAATCACCAAAGAACTTCAAAAGTATCTCGGTTATTTTGTGACTTACTGAACTTGATCTTTTCTACACATACATAGTAGAATTAAACTAAAACCTATTTAAAGCTCAATTACTGCATAAACTTTAGACTATAGACTTGTAATCTGATATTCTTTTTAAATTTATCGACCTTACAGCTGGGGAAACTGTTAACATTTATATCTTACTTGCTTTCATGGCTACATTCTCTTGCAATATGAGGATAACACATTGAAATGTATAATTTTCTCATGTAATGTATAATCTTCTCCTGTAATGTACAATCTTTCTCCTCTGCCCCTCAGGGACCACCCGGACCTAGCGGACAAGATGGATCCCCCGGAGAGCGTGGTGCCCCAGTGAGTACATTTGTCTGTCATTTGTTGATGTGTTCGTGGTTCTGAACTTTTAAAAATACCAAAACTGTAAGGTATGGAAATGTAACACTATTTTTTCGGTAACGAGTAATATTCGTCAATTCTTCTCTTGAGAGTACTGTAATCTGAAATATAGTGACATGTGTATGCAAGTAAATTATTAAATAAAGAAAAAGATTATTTATTTAAGTTGCAAGTAAAGCTTTTACTAAAGCTACATTCTAATCTTTAGCACTGATATTGTAACCTATTTATGATGTTGCAAGTGTTGTAGAACTGAACGTAAACTAAACCGCTACTTGTCCACCCTCAGGGAAACGACGGTATTGATGGTGAGGCTGGCGAGCAAGGCCCAGGAGGACCCCCAGGACCCCCCGGACCCGGAGGACCCTCTGGAGGAAGAGGCGAGCAAGTGAGTAGTTTTCTTTTCTTCCTCTAGAACTTTCTTTTTTCTGAATTTTGTTTCCGTTTTTCTTCCCCTCTTTCCTACCATTATTCCACCCCCCCCTATCCTTTAAAAAAAATTCCCCTGTCTTCCATCTTTTCTTCATCCTCATATTTTTTTGCTTTCTTTCATCTGCAGGTATCTTTTGTTTCTGGATTGATCTACCTCTTTCATTTATTATTCTTTAATATTTATATCAGTCTGTGTCTTCATTCTCTAGTCTGATCTCTCTATCTCTCCATCATACACCCTCTCTCTTACCATCCCATCTATTTGTCCATCATATTCAAATTCCCGTATCTCTCCAACCATAATATTATTTCCTCGCTCCTCGTTTTGTCAATCAAATCCCCTCTCCCTTATCCTTCCATCCTCCTTCCATCTGAACATCATGTCCCCATATCACTTATCCCTCTAACAATCAGTCAATCATCCCCCACCTGTCCATCATATCTCCTCTACCTTATCCTTCCTCCCTTCATCCATCTGTCCATCGTATCCCCCCTCTCACTTTCCCTTCCCTGCATCTATCTATTAGCCCCCCTTCATCCACCCCTCCATCCATCTGTCCGTATTTCCTCCTTCATTCATTCATCCCTCCCTCCATCTGTCCATCCCCGCAGGGACCTGAGGGACGCCCCGGACCTGAGGGAAGAACTGGCCCATCTGGACCCCGTGGAGAGAGAGGACCCGCCGGAGAGGCTGGAGGCCCAGGAGGACCCGGACAACCCGTGAGTACAGACAAACACACAGACAGACAGACACACAGATAGACAAACACACAGATACACAGACACACAGAAAGAGATAAATATACAGAAAAATACTTGAGGTGAATAAAGACAGAGACAGATACATTGATATATTGATACAGAGAGAAGACCCGCTTTATAGGTGGTTAGCCCTTGAGGAAGCAGACACACACACACACACACACACACACACACACACACACACACACACACACACACACACACACATACACACACGCACACAGAGGGAGAAAGAGGGAGAGAGAGATAGATAGAGAGAGAGAGAGAGAGAGAGAGATAGAGATAGAGAGAGAGAGAGAAAGAGGGACAGACAGACAGACAAACAGATAAACAGTCACACTGACAATTTTTTTTCTTTTCGTTCATCTCTGAAGGCACACCCCAGTCTCGAGCGCGAATGCTGCTTTTCACTGCAGGTCTTTCAGGCCCTCATAAAGTTTTGGGTCTCTGTGCCGAGGGCTGGAACAATATTTTCCCTCTAAATGCCTCGAGCATTGGACAGCCTTGTAGTAGATGGCTCCCTGTTTGGTCACCAGTTTAGCATTGACGTTACTCTGATTACAGATTTAGATACGTGATTTTAAAACTTATTTATACCTAGTTTCTAATTTGCCACCATCTTTAATTAGGAATCTATGTTTTTTCGTATCGCCCACCTACATGTACATGTACAAGATGGGCATAACCCTCCGCCCACCAAAATTACCAAAATACCCAGTAGTGGGCGATATCACCCAGGTCGGCAAGCACTGATTTAGATCTATGTAGTTATATTCTATCAATTCGGGATTATTGAGCCATTATTATTTTGGTAGCACCAAACAATGTAGCTAGAGGTCCATGTTATTTGCCAACTTTTGCGAGTGGTGAGCTGCAGCTTCTCTGATGTTCGTCCACAGTATCTATTCGGAGACGGCTCCGACGGAAATAGACCAATCAGAATGCTTTGTGCCGTTAGACCAATTTTTAAAAATCGGGGGGGGGGGGGGGGGGGGCTGTTTTAACTCATAATTTGATATTTTGCAG